GCGGCTGAGGAATGCTGACATTTCTATTTATGGGCAAATGAACACTTGCTATGGCAGATGGGCTCGTTGAGAACATATATATCAAATGCTTGGGCTTTGATTATACTTGAAAATAAATAAGTAAAAGTATGAAAGATATTATAAAAAATATAAAAATAAGAGTGTAATAAAAAAATATAAAATGTTTCGTTTATAAAACAATTCGAGGTATTTATAAATTTAACAATAAAGGACTAAAATGTAAAACAAGAAATCTAATGGAGAATCTCAAATTCATTAGAAAACTTTCTATATGTTCCACTTACTTTCTATTTTCTATTCAGTAGTCTTCTTAATTCTTTTTAATTTTAATCTTGATTCAAAAAATTTTAAAAATTTATTTAACCTAACGGAGGTTTTTTTATATTTGTTTCAGTTGCATGATAGTTCAAAAATATTAGTTTGATTTGTTGTATAAAATAAAATAAAAGGAAAATTAGTATAAAATATTTGCATATATATATATATATATCTATTTTTATTTTTTATTATGAAGATTAGTTTCTTATTTTAATATTTAATTAGTATTAACAATTTTTTTCAGTTTTCCTAGGATATATATATATATATATACACAGCTTGAGACGAAACTTCAGCGTGTCATGCTCAAGGCTCGGGCCAGATCATCCCAGAGCCACTACAACAGAAAGTCAAATAACCGATATTTACGGGCAAATACTTTGAACAGTTGGTAGAGCAGATGGGCTCGTGGAGAACACACACACGCACACACGCACGTGGCGTCTCATTCTAACTTCACTTAACTTGAAAACAACACACCAAGACTCGTTAAAAGAAAAGGAAGAAAAAGTGTGGCGTGCCGTCCGTTTGGGCTGCAGCAGTTCCCTTAATTGAAATGCGATGGCAGCCCAAACGCGCTGTCCCTTAATTGAAACCTGGCATCCCTAACTACCTGTGGTTTGGATGTTGAAAGTCATAGCTCCACGCATGAGTAAGTTCTTACAACTCTCTTATTTATGCAGTTTTCACTTGTTTTTTTCGTGTGATTAAAGGACAGTGTGAAGGTTTTTCTGTGTGCTATATAATATTACATGAATGTGCTCGTGAATTTAAATCTTAATTTTTGTTGAAAAAATTATTAAAAACTATTTTTTATGTTGAAAAGTTTTGAATAAGAGATGGGCATTTCACTACAGCTACACCCTCTCCATTTTAACTCTTTTTATAATACAATGTTTCTTAATATATTTCAGTCGTCAAACTTTTTATCTTTACAATCTTATCCTTCCATGTTAAATTGGCGTTGTTTTTTTATTTACATTTATTTTATTTTGCATTATATTGTGTATACAAAGTTTTCAACAATATTCAAGGATTAATTAAGGATCAATTTAGTTAAATCTTACATTAATTATAGTTATAAATCCGTGACAAATGATAAATTCTTATGTACCTTAACTTGGATTTTTATCTGTTAAATTATATAAGAGCTAACTCTATGTAAATTGGTTTATTTAATAAGTTAAAAAAATCTAAATAATTGTTTTTTATTTTAAAAAACCGATATTGAACAATAAAAAAACAATAATAAGGTAAAAATAAAAAAATAAAACTCACTTTTTAATTGATTTAATATTGAATGAATTATTATTATTATTATTAAATAATATAATATAATTTTTATTTTTATTATTACTTTTACTTGCTACAATGGCACAAATTTGCGAGTTGTTTTTTAGAGTCTGGCTTGACAGCAGCCGGAAAGCATATTCAAAATTCAGAGAGTAGGATGTGATTTTGCTTGTCATGTTATGATGTCAGGCTTGAACTCAAAGGAAGATGGTGATATTTTTTCTTTCGTTCTTGTATGTGAACAAATTGAATCAATATGGATATTATTGTATGAAAATTGGAAAAAAAAGTTAAATTGAATCAATATTAAAATGAAATTAAAAGGAGAGCAAAAACATGTCTGTTGATCGTGGATTGTAACAGAGTCCCTCAAACGTTCTGGCTTCTCGGCGCAGGGTGTCTCCGGCTTCGCCCACCTGCGACGGCTGTTGCATCCTTGGGATTCGTTTGCTCATCATAGAAGATGTTGCTCGGCTGGCTTGATTTGGGTTTTGGTTCGGCTTCATTTGGCTTCTCAGCACAGAGCTGTGCATGAAGATAGATATATTTTTATGTTTAAAAAAAAAAGTGTTTTTTAAAAATATTAATTTTTTTATATTATTTTGATGTGTTAATATCAAAAATATTTTTTAATATATAAAAAATATTATTTTAATAATTTTAAAATAAAAAATAACTACTATTCTAATATATATGTGTGTGAGAGAGAGTGAGATTAGTTAGAGTAAGGTACTGTTTATTTATGCATTTTAAAAATAGTTTTTAAAAAATTTAAAGTTTTTTATTTTAAAATTAATATTTTTAGTCTTTTTAAATTAATTTAATTTTAAAAATAAAAATATGATTTTAATAGATTAATACAAAAACGCTATTAGCCAGCCAGCGGCAGTCCAGCAAAGAATGAAGAGCTGGCTTTACCAACTGTAAACGTCAATTCAATACGCTGGAAAAAAGTCTGCTTGAATTATGACAGCCCCGTATTTCCTTCTGAAAGTTACGTGGAGTTTGTCTCTTTTAATTCCATCCAACGACATTGAAGATGAGCGTTCCTTTTCGGAGATTCTATATGCATACACACGCCATTAATTGAGACGAATCACTTTTATTTGTATTTAATTACTGGATATAATAATGCATTACCATAAACATATCTAATTTCAATTAAAATGTAAATATGTTTTTATTTCATTTTTTTTCCTGAGAAAGCATATCGGATACTGAATTGACTTTCAATTTCTTATCACACTATAACAAGAATATATATTTTTGTCTTTTTATAACAAGGAGGTAAAATTAGAAAGAGAATAGTGGTTTTGATTAGACATAGTTTGAAAAAACGATACAAATTATATTTTATAAAAAATTATAAAAAAAAACTGTGGTTTTGATTAGATATAGCTTAGAAAAACGGTATAAATCATATTTTATAAAAATTTATTTTTTGTTAAAGATTAATTTGTTTGTATTTTAAATTATTTTAATACATTAATCTCAAAAAATAAATTTTAAATAATAATAAAAATATTATTTTAACATAAAAATATTTTAAAACAGGCATTATATAAAGTAATCCATTTTCGATAAGCAAATAAATAAAAAGCATTGGCAAATTATTCCCACGCATGAAGGATGATGGTACATTGAAATTTTCGTCTTCAACACTCTAGCTACTCTAATAAGTCCATATGTGTCAACATCTCCGCGCGTGGAATTGATTTGTTGCATTTTTTAATATAAAAAAATTGATTGGTTACCATGACTTCTAAGTAAACTAAGGTTAATTCCTCTATTCGATCTATTTTAGAATGCACCCTCCATGTTAATCTGATACATTTAAAAGAATTTAATAAAAAAATAAATATTAATTAACAAAAAGCTAAAACTGCTTGGTATTTAAACCCTGGATTGTGAATAGTTTTTATACGATTTTTCTATATTTTTCATAGATTTAATTATCAAGGAAAGCAAAAAAATATTCAATTGGCTTCAGGAGGCTATTTCATCATTTCTCCTTCTTCACAAAGCAAAATGACATAAGTGTCTTTAGAATCAAAATTTATTAAGTTGGCTTTCATTTTTGTACTTTTATCATAGTTTTATTTATTTATTATAATTTGGGTGATTGAGAGGTAATATAATATTTTAATAAATATATATTATTATTAAAAACTGAAAGCTAGTTGGCACGCGTCAACCGTGTGAGTTGTCTCCACTACTTTCAAGAGGTGCGTGAGTCAATATCTAATAGCTAAATAGTGCTTCTAAGGTGGTGTTCTTCTATTACGACGCGGCGTGCATGACCAATTAACCTTTAATTTGATGTTGATGACATATTTTTTCTTTCATTTTCTTTTTTTTTATATTGATTTTCACGTTTTTTATTCGAAGTTTTTGAAGTAGCACTTCAATTTATTTTTATTTTTTATTTAATTTTATTTTTTAATTATTATTTATTTTATTTAGAATGAGTTATTAAATTAGTTTTTTTTTCATTTCATCTGGAATTTTTTTGACATGTGAGATTCAATTCTATTTTTTTTTATTAATATTTATTTTATTTAAAATGATTTTTAAAAATGATTTTTTTATAATTTTATTTTTTATATATATTTTTATCGTTAAATTTAATCCTTTTTATTTTATTTGCTATCTTATTCATTATGAATTTTTTTTTATATTGATGTTTTCTTTTAATTTTATATTTTCACATTAAATTAATTATAAAATAAGTTTCTTAATTGTGTCCAATTTTACGGGTTATAAATTTAAAATATTTATTTAACTTTTTTTTTTAAGTTTATATTTTTTTAGTTTTATTTCTTATTATTTATTTAATCAAAGATTAAATTTTGTAATTTTTTATTTGTTTTTATAAAATTATTTATTAATTTTATAATTATTTAATCAGAAATTTATTTAAATTTGTTTTTTTTTAAGTTTATAATTTTTTAGTTTTATTCCTCATTATTTATTTCATCAAGATTGGGATTTGTAATTTTTTTTTAAGTTTATAATTTTTTAGTTTTATTACTCATTATTTATTTAATTAGAGATTGAGTTTTGTAATTTTTTATTTATTTTTCATAAAATTATTTAAAATTATTTAATTTTTTTAATTTATCATTATTTTTTATTTTTCAATTCCCGAAAAGTGAAGCTAACTGAGGTTCGATATCATTATCTGTTTCATTGAAACAGCACATAAAAATATATAGGTAAAGACAAGAGAGAAGAAACCACAAGGGCCGGTTAGACGGCCTCCAAAACAGTTCGCTCACTAGCCGGCCGTTTCTTCTTATTTGACAGCACACGCTTTTCTAACCCTATTCTTCCCTGTCATTCCTTTAAAAGCCTCCTCATTGGAGAGCTCAGTCATATCTCTCAAATTTTATCCCATTTTAATCTAGCTACTGGACGCGTGCGGCTAAGTTTTCATGGCGAAATTATCACAGCAGAACACAAAAAACACAGCAAGTAACAATAAGAACACGACTAATGGCGTGACCAAGGTGAAACGAACAAGGAGAAGTGTTCCAAGAGACTCTCCTCCTCAACGCAGCTCCATTTATCGTGGCGTTACTAGGTTATAAATCATTTGCATGGCTTCATTGTTATAAGTTCTTCTGCTTGATCAAATTTATTACTTTTATTCTTAATTTTTTTTTCTCTTTCCTTTCCTAAGAATGATACCATTGTATTAATTATTGTTTCAGGCACCGGTGGACCGGCCGATATGAAGCTCATTTGTGGGATAAGAATTGCTGGAATGAATCACAGAGCAAGAAAGGACGACAAGGTTATTCATTTTCACCACCTACATTAACATATTTTTTAAGCTGTAGAGATTATCATGGAGCAATGTATTAATTAATGTGCATTTTTTTTTCTTTCTGTGGCAATGGCCGATGGTTCTTAATTTGCTGCGATACTTGGATAATGCAGTTTACCTTGGTACGTATCATAATTAATTGCATGCTTTTAATTTCTTAGTAAAGCCAATGAAAAAAAATTGGAAAATAAAGTTTGAGATTGAGCTGTAGTTCTTATGGCATATGTGATGACTACTTTTCAGGTGCCTATGATGATGAAGAAGCGGCAGCGCATGCTTATGACTTAGCTGCACTGAAGTACTGGGGTCCTGAGACAATTCTTAATTTTCCGGTAATCTTATGTCCAAAATACATATGAAAAAAAGAAATAAAAAAGTTAAGATATATTCAGATGATTAACGCAGGAATCTGCTGTATTATTGGTTATAGTTGTCGACATACCAAAATGAACTGAAAGAAATGGAGGGTCAGTCAAGAGAAGAGTGTATCGGATCATTGAGAAGGTATAAGCTTCTTGCATCTATGGCTGTGGAAATGAATCTTTGCATACGGAATTGCTAAATTGATGAACTAATTTATACAGCAAAATGATTCTTATTTGTGTTCAAATCTGTAGGAAAAGCAGTGGCTTTTCTCGTGGAGTTTCAAAATATCGAGGAGTTGCTAGGTACTTTACGCTAGCCTTGCTCTGTAATTACAGATAGTGTATACAATTCTGAAGCCTCAAGATTTTCAATTATAAAAGCCAATAAAAAGAAGAAGAAGAATCCAGCCAATTCTCATAATTAGCAGGATCTCGCTCAACATATCCCATAACTTGAGACTTTAATTAATGTTATTGAAATTAATTTTAATGTTCAGGCATCATCACAATGGGAGGTGGGAAGCTCGGATTGGTAGAGTATTTGGCAACAAATACCTATATCTCGGGACATATGGTAAATTCCTCCTCGATGTTTCACTTTTGACCTGTACCTTGGGGTTCTCTTTCTGATCTTGGGACAAATACCTCTCGAATTAATGCTATTATGCACATCCCAGAGAAATGCACGCGTTCCTTAATGACATTACATCACATGCACAGAAATTCTCAAGCTCCCACCATCCTTTTACATGCAAAATGAATCCTAACATTGATCAACCGATTTTTTTCTTGCAAAGCCTTACACTAAGTAACCCTTATATATTAGTAGTCTGCACGAAGAAAAGTTTTCAAACTGCCGATTCTGCACGCAAACGGATTGATCCTAACTTCACTCAGTTTATCTTTAATTTAATGGAAGAAAAACCAGCACTGATTATGTCTCGTTGATTTTTGCAGCTACTCAAGAAGAAGCTGCCACCGCTTACGATATGGCGGCTATAGAGTACCGTGGCCTGAATGCTGTTACCAACTTCGATCTTAGCCGTTACATCAAATGGCTAAAACCCAATCAAAATAACAGTGATAGCAATAACGATCTAAATCTCCCTAACCCTATCCTAGGCACTGATAGTTCAACTCATCCTAACCCTAAACAAGAGCTTGGAACAACCTTCCTTCAAAACCAGCAAACCTACCAACCGAGTGAAACTACATTAACTCAACCACGGCCAGCAACGAATCCTTCATCTGCCCTAGGGCTCTTACTTCAATCATCGAAGTTCAAGGAGATGATGGAAATGACAGCAGTGACAGATGGCCCACCAACCCCACCGTCGGGCTTAGACCTGACACCATGTAGCTTCCTTGAAGACGTACAGACATATTTTGACTGTCACGATTCACGTAACTACGGAGATCAAGGTGACGACATGATTTTTGGCGACCTCCGCTCGTTTGTGCCACCCATGTTCCAGTGCGATTTCGAGACATAAAGATTAATTAAGGTGATCTTGTCACTACACATTAATTTATATAATTAAATTAGTTTGAAGGTTCTTTGTGAATATGAGACCTGCAATATGGTCTATGGCTTTCCCTCATCAATTGGTGAAGGGTTAAAGTAGTTCTGTAGGGCTGCATGCGCTTTATTTGGAGAAGAAATGGAGAAACGAGGCGGAGAAGAGATTTATTATTCGGTTCATTTGTTTGTAGAGCGACAAGGGCAAATAAACAGTGGTATTTTATCATCATTATTTTGTACGAATAAGATGTATAATTTTTTCTATCAATAAAATGTCTATGAAATTGATGTAATTTTCATTTTTCATTAATAAAATGTCTACATGTGTGCATAAAAAGAAAGATTCTCTAAGATGGACTAAATCGATATATTATCTCTTCATCTGCACAAATTATTCTTCAAAAAATAACGCATCAAAAAAGTTATAATTAAGCATATAAAAAATTACTAATTTGATTTTTTTTTTTTACAGAATATAAACATTGCCGTCTCTAATTTTTTACCCTTTTTTCAACAAATAATAAAAAAATGCAAAAAAAAAAACGCCAAAGTTCTAAAAATGAATATGGTTTCCTACGTGATTAGGTAAATTTCTGGTTATTTTATAATTTTTTTTTTTATCATTTCTACAAAAATATCCCTCTCATTGAAATCATCCTTGTCCTCAAGGATGCTCAATAATGGAAAACAAGAAATAAGGACTCTAAGGATGTGAGACTTTCCAAGCAACCTCTTTCGCGCTCAGATTGGACCTTTGGACACCAGGCCGCTACCACCCACTTCAATATTCTTCTCTAGTTAACAACAAAAGTTTCCTTTTGTATTGACCAACTAAACTTGGGATGTTGAGATTTATATTTTCAAATATAGAAATATATCACCGTGAATTTTCATAATATATTCTGGTGTTTTCTTTTTTATTTTAAATGGATAATGAAATAACTAAATTACTTTTAGAAATAAAAAAATTTAAATATGTATAAGAAAAAATTTAGTATTTTTACAATTATTTTTATTATCATTATCAATTTCACTCGGAAGGTATTTAATTAAATATATAAAATAAAAAGTAAAATGAAACGGTTAAAATACCTTTAAAAAATAAAACTATTGTCTTGGGGCATTTTCATCCTTTTTGCAATGGTTTCTTTGGTTATTATTAAATCATTTTAGATGTAGTTTGATATTTTTTTAATTATATAAAAAAAAAATACTAGGAGTGTGTGTAGCGCACCATTTTATGTCTTTTTCTTGAAGTTGCTGTGCTTGTAAGTGACAGTGATTTGATTTGTTATTGGTGAATTTTTCTTTTTTTTTTCTCTTGTTTTTTGAAGATTATATTTTAATAATTTTTTGTTGTTGATATTTTAACTTGTATTTTTATTTTTTATTTTTATTTGTTTTTTTTTTAACTTTATATTTGTTTTTAATTTTATATTTCAATCTTTATTTACTAAATATTATTATTTTTAATTTAATCCTTATTATTTTGATTATTTTTTTGGGCCTTTTGTTAAATTGATTAGTTTTTCAATTTTATCTTTTAGTAAAAAAATTGTTTTAATTTTTTATTTCAATTTTTATTTTTTTTGTTTTTTTTGTACAATTATTTTTTCCTTTTCATTTTAGTACCCTTTAATAAAAAATAAAACTTATTTTTTATTTTAATTTTGATCTTCATTATTTTAATTTTAATTTTTTAGATTTTTTTATATAATTAGTATTATTTTTTCAAATTAATTTTTTAATATTTAATTAGTTGAGAATTGAGATTTATGATTTTTTCATAGTACTTTCAATCCAATATCTAAGGTCATGAATTTGAAAAATTAACACGTGTTGACATTGTATATTTTACTTAATTTTTTTCGGCTTTGTGGTTCTTTATGTTTTCTTTTTTGCTAGGCTACCCCCATCTGATGACATGGATTGTGGGTTTAGAGAGGTAACTCGTTGTTGTTGATATTTTAACTTGTATTTTTTTTTTTTTAAGTTTATATTTGTTTTCAATTTTATATTTCAATCTTTATTTACTAAATATTATTATTTTTAATTTAATCCTTATTATTTTGATTATTTTTTTGGGCCTTTTGTTAAATTGATTAGTTTTTCAATTTTATCTTTTAGTAAAAAAATTGTTTTAATTTTTTATTTCAATTTTTATTTTTTTTGTTTTTTTTGTACAATTATTTTTTCTTTTTCATTTTAGTACCCTTTAATAAAAAATAAAACTTATTTTTTATTTTAATTTTGATCTTCATTATTTTAATTTTAATTTTTTAGATTTTTTTATATAATTAGTATTATTTTTTCAAATTAATTTTTTAATATTTAATTAGTTGAGAATTGAGATTTATGATTTTTTCATAGTACTTTCAATCCAATATCTAAGGTCACGAATTTGAAAAATTAACACATGTTGACATTATATATTTTACTTAATTTTTTTTGGCTCTGTGGTTCTTTATGTTTTCTTTTTTACTAGGCTATCCCCATCTTATGACATGGATTGTGGGTTTAGCGAGATAACTTGAGTTGACTTGTTTTTTGCTTCCTGAGTTACAAATTTGTCATTCTAACTCTCAATTTTCATCATTTTGTGTTTAATAAGTTTAAAATTAAGTTATATTATTTGTCTCATTTTACAAAAATATTTTTACTTAGTTTATTGGTATCACTTTTGTTGTTTTTAAATTTAATCTATTTGTTGTAATTGTTTATTTTTTTATTATCAAATTAAAATAAAAACTAACTTATTTGATTCAATCTAATTTAACACCAGCGTCACTTGCACAACTTAAACATTCTTTCATGGCACAAAAACAAATATATTCTAATACCACAGCTATCAATCCCTCATTCAAACTACTAATAACACTCCTCCACATTGTCCTCTCATGCAACTTCTCAAATTCTTTCATTGCATCAATGAGTTTTCTATTCCCAATTCGTGAACACAAAGCCTTAACAAACCTATCCCGAGTTAGATCATCCCGGTAAGCCAACAAATCCTAGAATCACACCCTCACCTTACCATTCAGAAGACACAGTAACATGTTCAAGTTATATGACCATCTTGAAATATGATCCTATCCAACCCCTCATCTTTTTTCTTCAAAGAAGGACAATTAAGTTCATGCCATGCAATTTGAAAGATAGTATTAAATTGTAAGTGCTCACCTACTTTACTCTTCAATTCTCGTGACTCGAAGGTTGCAAGACCATCATGATCTAATTTTAATAAATTTCGCAATTAGATTTAATTTAGAAATTATTTATCTAAATTCTGCTTGAGAAGCTTTATTTACTCATCAATTTCTCGAAACTCTAACCTTATGTATTTCAATTGTTTCTCAATGACTAACATTTGATTATTTTTCACCACTTTTCATATTAGTCCGAACCATTATTTTGGTACCAAAATTGTAACATATCATGGAAAAGATAGAAATAAAAACAAGGTTTATGACAGAAAAATAAAAATAATAGTTGTGATTGGTTTAAAAAGCCTATTCTGAACTTCGAGTCAGTAAATAATTAGTCCCTAAACTATTTGTGTTATAGTTTGGACCATTAATTAGCATGTTTTTTGGTTAGTAATGTTATTATTCTCTTAAGGTTTTTGTCCACTTCGACGGCATATGTGATTACATGGCCTATCAAGAGATGAGGTCTTTACTATAACCTAAAATAGCTTGATAATTAAGTTCTTTTATAAATTAAATTGATTTTAAAAAAACTCTAATTAGCCTCGAAAAGGAAAATCATCTTCCTCTAGGGAAAAAATAAAAAGAATCTTCTTCCATCACATGATCAAATTAATGCCACCGCCATCAAAATTAACCTCGATGTCTATATACCCTCCCCACAAATTTATTTATCATAAAACTAATTAAAAGAAAACAATCTTAATTATTATTAAACCATCACGAGGGAGGTGTATATTTATTTTTGCTGCTGTGTTTGTTTTTAATGGTGAGAATCATGGTTAAAAGCAATAAACACAACAATAAAAATAAAAATAAAAATATATTATTTCTGCTCTAATATTTTTTATCATAGAGAATTATATAACATAAAAAAAAATTTAAAAAAAAAGAAATAAAAAAAGCAAACACCTCCTAGATCGAACACCACTACGAGTCTACTACATTGCTTCTCTCTCGTGGTGACATAACCATTATATTTTCATAATAAGCTCAAATTATTTGGTGACATAATCATATAACTCTCTCTCTCTCTCCCCCCCTAAAAACTCACGTGCTTAAGTATCTCTTCTAGCTCACGTGACTTTAGAAACGGTCAAACTTACCTCATAAATGAAAATGTAGATGAAAAGAGGATATTATTAAAAAAAAAAAAAGAGTTAAGGACTCGAATCAGAGTAAAAATAGATCAAGGACTAGTTTATAGTTGGCCGGAAGTTAATTTTTTAACCAATTGGAAATCCGAATGGCAAAATTCAACAACGTCAAATGCCACAGTAACTAATAAGGAAGACAAGTCACCGTAGTTTTTAATATTCTCACAGACACGCTCCTCCACCTTTGCTGCTTGTTCTTGTGTTCCACGGGAGTTCGGCAGTCCAACAAGTTGTTTATTTAAAAATATTTGTTTTAATATATTAATTTTAAATATAAAAAATATTATTTTAAAATATTTTAAAATGAAAAATATTTTTAAAAGTATTATTTATTAAAATTTTAAACATTTTAAATGTTTATGTGTGTTTTAAAATTATATTCAACTTGAAAAAAAAAGTAAAATTAAAATTATTTTAATTTTTTTGTAATTTAATCTATTAAAATAAAATATTTTTTAAAAAGTATTTTAATATTTTAAATAAAATGTACTTTTAAAAATCACGGAATAAAAAACACGCACTTACCGAAATTGACCCCCTCAGTCACGGGGCACATGAGCACGAATGCACACTGTCATTTCACTTGGGCAATCCCGTAAAATCCCGAC